CGAATTCTAAAATGGACACAGCAGCACCAACAGAGAACAACAACCACCACATACTCTCGCTATTGGAAAACATTGCCTTTAATATCTAGTTGTGAGTTATCAAGAGTAATTGGTTCATAACAACAATTGAAGGTTGCACCACGGAATCAACAATGTCTAAAATACACTTTGCGTCGCTCTGATATCATAATAATTAAGGAGAGGTCTTTAAACGGTTTGGAGCACACCGGACGTGTTAATTTATATGTAGATTACAAAAGTTGTTTGTCTTATGAAAGGTGAAATTTTTGCAATGTTTTATCACTCATTAAAGTCGCAATCAACTTTTCCTGTTGCATACTGTATATGTCCAGGGTGTTAAAAATAGCAGGCCATAAGCTTCATATTTCCTTAAAATTTGATCTAAATGTGCATTTCTAATTACCAGCTTTCTCAGAAAATCAGAACAAAACGTTTTATCACTAGCTCTTTTGAAAAAAATCCAAATTGTGTGATATTCATTATGTTTGAATAACTTAAACTCAAAATGTCTCATATTCCCCTTCAAAATTCATAGCAATTAGTGTAACTATCAGACAGCATAATAAATATATAATTTTTATTTATTTATTTATTTCAATGTTTCGTCCTCAAACTATGCATTAAATGTTTACAGAAATAACCTCTTTTTTTTAAATGACACTCTCTTTAATTAAATACTAGAAATTATCTAATTCTATGTTGCTTAGTATATCATTCATTTAGAATTCCAAGCCCTGTAAGAGTAAAAAAAACGAAAAGTGATCTACCTAATTAGACAAGAAGCGAATCGTTTTCTCTTAATTCTTTGAAGGTGATGAGACATTAAATCACATACACATATAATTCGTAACTTATTGGTCCATTTTTCTTGAATAGCAGCTGCTACACTTTAAAAATGATTCAATGAAATGTAAAAATCATCCCTCCCCAGCAATGTCTGAGTACTCGCAAATCATTCACAGACATGACGATAGGTCAAGAGTGTGAAGAAAGCGTTTCAACCCATCATACAGATTTCCAGTATGCTTGAGAGTTGGATACTTATGAGACAAGATATAACAAATTCATTAGAATATTCTTCCAATGGCATCGTATGTTATAATTCTGTGAAACATGTGAGCTATAAAGAAAGTCATTATCATCTTGAAAGATGGAACAATTTTCAGGGAAAAAAGCGTTTATAAATGCCCAGATAGCATGTTAATACATCTTGATCGATCTGAGGATATCTGCAAGCAATGAGAGATTCTAGGGATGACCACGTAAACCAGTTGAGACTGTTACACTAGCCAATTGCTTCCATAATATCAGTATGACCCAAAAGATAAATTGATTTATGAGATTTTACCCACATGTACACTCTGCTATATATGTTTAATGAAGTTAAAATCCTTGATTCATCTATCCAGATGACAAGTTTTCAATCATTTACGGCTAAGTAGAAGAGAGATTTTGGAAATTATATCTCAACACTCTGTGTCTTGCAGTACACAGTAGCAAGCGATGTTCACATCAAATATTAAATACACCTCCTTCCAAGCTTTGAAGGGCAGGCTTTATTTATATGTATATAGAAGCACCTGCATTAAATCAACCCAAAATTCTTTCAATGACATAATTCTTTTCTGAGATAACAAATAATCTACTTACATTGAACATATATTGCTAGCGCCCTGTTAGTTCTTTTATGCTTGATACGGATTACATCAAATTTCTACTCGCACAATCATTCAATAGTATTGTGCTGTGTTACAAAATTTAATTATGAGCTAATGTATCTAATTTAATTGTGTGGTTTAACTATTAGCAGTAGCAATGTAAAAACTTTTGTGATTTTAGATTCGGTCAGTACTGTTATCATTCTTACGGTTGGAACAGGAGAGAACAGGGAGATTTTTTAAACATCTGGACAGGAAGCAGCGGATAGTTGTTATAATGGCCAGGTTCGCTTTCTTCGTTCTCGCTTTTGTTCTTTTGGGACAAGGAAAGTTCCAGTATGGAAGATAAACTGCATATTCTTGCGCTTTTCCAAAGTGGAGCTAGCGGACGGTTTTTACTGAGTAAGTGAAAGAATAATTTAAACTCTGGTTTCGTTTTCGCTTTGTGAATGTTGCAGATGATAGATAAATGGATTTTTTTGAAAGGGAGAGGGGCAGAGAGTTTTTTCAGCTTCAATTAAAAAGGCACGATTTGCTTTCCTTCATTGTATAAAATTTCCTTGTTTACGGAAGATAACTGGGATTCCAATTCATTGGCACGTGTGTTTGGGGACTAATTGCTGCAAATGGTCAAGATGAGCCGTGGTGAGGGCAGTTTTCACAATTGCTTTGGGAAAGAAAAATAATCTTTATTGTTCAGAATTTAATTTAAATTTTTATCTTCCAGCCTATGATATTTTTATAAATCTGTAATCTAAATTTTCCTTCGAATTCGCACAAGGGCTGAAATAAAATCTACTGAGATTGCTAGAGAGAAGAAGGAAAAGGTTACTAGGAGCTGTTTGTGCTCCCCGCGGCCCTTTCGCGTGGATCGGTTTTCTACGAGTAACCTTACCATCGATTTTGCTACCTCCATGGATTTTTCAGACAGGAGCAATGGGTGAAGAAATTTTGCTACGTCAGCGTGCTTTGGGCCACACGTCACATAGTAAGAGAGAACGTAATATGTGGGCTGCTCGTGACTTGATGAAACCCCAAGTAATGAGGGCATTTTTTTCTTGCATCTTGGTCGTTATCTCTTCGTGTTGCCATTCAGTGTTAAGTACTATCATGAGTTAGAAGTCGGCATGGAACACGTCTTTTCCCGCCTAAGAGCGACAAAGATCAGAACTACCCAGAGTTCTGAGTTCTTCCGACGCTGTTTCTACAAAGTGGATAAAAATAACTGCGGTTTGGGAAAGCTGCTAAGTATTAGTAAGATTTGTAGAACATTTTGGGCAGTTTCGAACGAATAATTAACTGGACGGAAGAGATTATGAATTTCCCTCGAGTCTGACGTTCTAGAGCAGATCTTAATTTGTTCTCAGGTCATGAGCTTGTGATGGTAAAATAAACTAGTATTTTGTCCACCGTGATTGAATTTTGCTTTTTAATAACACTGTATTTTTCTAGAAGAACTAGACTTTTTTGACTTAAAATGAATAATTGGGAAACAGAATTTTTAATGTTTAATTTGTAAGGTATTTTCTCCCTGTTTTCTGCATGCCTTCGAGGGGTAACTGGAAGCACGCTCAACACATATGCGGGAGTTCCAGATTTCGAATTCTGTTGAGGGCAATGCGCATTCCTGCATCGATATAACTTGACGACTCTACAAGTTATTATAAATTATGTCGTAAATTAAGTTAGTAGGTGAAGTAAGCTTCATTGTATTACCATATAAAATATCATTGATTTAATGAATAAATAATAATATAGTAATGAAATTAATAACTATTAGAAGGTGAATTAGTTTCTGTATTACATGAAAGAGCAAATTTGCATTTTCACTTATTCAAAATAAAAATTCTTTTAAAAGATGGCTAGGGACTGGGCAGCTGTCCCAGCTGCATGTTTATTATTTAATCTATCAAATTAATAAATGAGTTTATTGTTAAAACTTGAATGTATTTTTATTTTGATGGTTTAACTTGATCATTCAAATTGCTTGACCAAGATTCAAATTGCTTTTAAAAACAAAGAGCTTTTACTTACTTGGACATACTTGTAAAAGTACACAACGTAAATTTGTTCTAACCACTTAATTAGATGATTCATTGAGAAATTTTGATTAATGTAGGATACCGAAAAATAACTGAACTACAACTGAATTTATGAAATTAGCGTTATTTTATGGATATTTTTTCCTGGTGTTTCGTAAGGTTCTGTATTGATGGAATTGAATTTCTAGAGAATTTTTCAGTTTATTGTCTATTTTGTTCGGCAATTTTGTGTTTTCCAGAAAGACCACTTAGGGATTTTAATGGTATAGATTTTTTTGAGAGATAACAATTTCAATAAGAGACTTTTATGGATAACGAAATGTAAAATTTATTTTTGTTAAAATGCTTGTATATGTTTTTATTTTTATACCAGACAACAGAGAAAATTTATTCCTCTTGATTTTCAGGTGAGAGATTAAGTATGTTTGAATCTTGAATTTGAGTTTTGAATAAAATTACTTGCAAAATTATATAAATCATTAAGTATGTTATATTTTAATTATTACATATATTATGTTATGTAATTATAACATAATTTACATACGATTATGCAAAACACAAAATATGAAACAAAATTACTAAAAACCAAGTTGTCATAGACTTTCATATTCATAAATTTTAATTTAAATTTTATGCGCTTTGCGCCATTTTGCGTCCCTCTGTCGCACCTTACTTCATTCTTTACATACAATTTCTCTGCACTGAGACATCTTTAGCCCAATAGCTGCTTACAAAGACGGCCATAAAAATCACCGCTGTTAATCCGCATTGCTCTTTCTCGCCTGCAGCTGCTTGAGTAAACCACATCCTTTGTTTAGTATGTAAGCTGAGCATATAGAAATTGTGAGGCGCGTTTAGCAGCCCTAGTGTATAACAGTTTTAAGCAAAAATGCATTTCTGAGTAATTGTTCCTGTGCAAAATTAAAGTGTTGTTTTAATCATCAAGCGAGTTGTGAGTGTCTCACTGGTTGTTCTTTAAGCAATATCTAAGTTTTTGACCATGACGAAAGGAAGAATTACTTTCATCTTTCGCAAAACTACAACATCACACCTCCTCTCCACACATAAATATATATATCTTTAGTTTTAGGACTTATTATTAGTTTAAAGGTTTTTCATGAACACTATCAACTATTTGCGATATGATAAAATCTTCCATACAAATAAAAAAGTTGCTTCAACAACACATTACATTGTCATGGCAAAAGAAAAAGAATAAACTGTATTTTGGGAGAGAAAAACTTATTTTACAGAAGTTTTAAAATACAATAGCTTGAAGGAAAGTCAAAAATATTTTTTATTCTACAAGGACATAGTATAAATGTAACGTAATCGGAAGCTACAGGAGAGAAGCTTAATATTCTCTGAACGTAATTCCTGTTTTCAGAACCTCTGATTCTAGCTCTAAATCCTTGTTTTCTGTTTTCTGTTTCCAGCTTTTGTTTTATTTTAGGATGGAATGATTCTAAAAAATCTATTCACTTTTGCTGTGTGAAAACTGAATGAAGAGGAAATTCTATGGATTTCATATTCTCATAATTTTTTAGTAGATGTCATTCTCTGTTTATACTTTGTAAATAATGTGCAAGTTACATATAACTCAGACTTTGCAATGGATTTTATTTTATTTTTTTCCTTTGCGTTTTTAAAAATAAACAGTTACTAATGACCAAATATCTGAAAAGATTCAATAAAAACATTCTATTTTAATAGAAGCATCAAAAGACGATTAACTGGATTAAATGGGCGATAACTGGAATTATCTGACAGGATAAATATATTTTCTATTATAAATATTCTAATCCACATTATTCTAAATTGTACCGTAAAGCATAGTGGGTTAAAAGTATTTGTAAATATTGTACATTTCCTATATTATTTTATACTTATTTTTTGGTGCTTCCATTTCTTTTATGCTTGAACAGATAGGTACCAAATGCTTTAAGTAAATTTATATTAATAATTCGAGTTTGTGTTTAACTATAATCCAAGCATAATTCGAGAATTATGTTCTTGAATAAGAAAATTCTTGGCAAAGAAATCTCGGTTTTAAGAGCTTCAAGTAATGGCCGCATTGAAAAGTTTCTTAATTGTTAGGTAATAATTCAGTATTTTTGTTTTAAAGAGAAGACAACAAAGTCTATGCTCTACAATGATACCTGAGATCAGAATTTTATAAGAAATTAATTTGATTAAATAGGAAAATACTTGATCACGAAACAGATATAGTTTGCTCCTTTTCATCATACAATATTATAATCAATGATTTGACTGTAAAGGAAATGTAACTTTTATAATTATACAACTCTAGTACCTCAGTGCCTTCCTGAATACTCAGTACTGTAAACAAGTAGTTATTATATTATTTATCTCTTAATATAAAACACATCTGTTGAGAATCTGCATTTCCAGCAAGTGCTTCATATGTTAGAAACTATACTGACGTGGCGCTGAAAATTTACGCCACGTATTTAAACATTATTTAAGCAGGAGTGACCATAAGCAGTTGTTCGGTATCTTTGATCTTCGTTCAGTGCTTTTGATGTCTACTTGATGTTTCTTTCTTTTTCAGTAAGTTAGCGTCACTAGACTGACCATTTAGATATTGAAGTCTTTGTGTAGCTCTTAACCATATAATTTATCAACATACAGCGGTCCCTAAGTTGCTTATACTGTTGCCTAAACTTCTAATAAAAAAACAAGAATTCGAAAAGTAAGAGTTTAAGAATAATGCATATATGCCAAGAACTTTTCCTATTAAACATGTGTGGGGTTCCTTGTAAACATTATGCTGGGTTATAGACTAACAAAAATGCTTCTTACGTTTTTATTCTATAGCACTCAATGATAAATGACGTCTTAGTTTCATTTAATTCTCTGCAGCGAAAATAGCTTGTCATTGTAAAATTCCAAATTAGACGAAAAAAGAACTTAAATTGAAGTCGGTTTACATGAAGCTCTATATATTTTGAAGACGACGGATTGTCTTCTAAATCTCCATTGTCGTTTCTACTTCTTCTTGAAAGGAAAACAAAATGCAGTGATAACTAAACATGTAGTTAAAACAATTGAAGAAACTAAGCAAATAATTTCATCAGAAGACAAGATGGGAACAGCTATCGAACAAAAAGAATCGAAAGACGATAAATATCAAAGTTAAAGATTATAATTTTGAAAGTTTTTGGAAAAACGTAAATTTGAATTCGTACCATTAATTAAATTCTGAGTGTGGAGCTCTTCAAGTGAAAATGTCCTTTGATAATTTAGCGGAACTAAAGCTGGGTTACACAATTGAGTTAAGGGAGCAATTAGGATTAGCTGTTGCTCCTTATCTCTAATTTAGGATTCATGCTCTTTAATGCGAAATATTTCCATCTGCTTAGTTTTACCAACATTTACCAAATCACACTGACAAAGAGTATTATAAATCCCTAAGAATTAAGGTTATAAATAAGGTTTTTAAGGTTATAAATAAGTTTCTTTTTATATCAATACTCAATTTCTTTGTTAATAAATTACCTTGTACTAACGATCTAATTATTCACTGAAACTTTTAGTTGAAGCTCATTCATTTACTTAGTAAGCATGAAAAACTCATCTTTCTTAATTTTATTACCTATAACATATAAAGTTGGAACAATATTTAAAATATTGGTGCGAAATTTGTATATAGTATGTGTAAGTAATTTAAGTGAAAATGTATGTAAATTGTGGCATCTCTTGTAAAATATAACATGAAAGGATTCAGAATGAGAAGCATCGTCAGAAAGATAAGGATACATGGAATGCATATTCCTCGCATTAAAAACGACGGCATCTAGAACTTCTGAACTTTTAATACACATAATCCTTCTCTCAAACATGACCATCTCTAAGCCGAAATTTGTTTTCGACTTATTTCATATTTTGCACAAGCAACCTACTGTCGGACGGGTAGGTAGTTCTGTAAGGACGGAACCATGATCCTGTAATATGAGCTGCTTTTATATCATCCGATTCGAATTTCCTGTAGAAGACTCCGTTTCGAAAATAGAGAGAGTCCCAACTCGTGATTCGCTTGGGAAAACATCTACAACTTTCTGAGCTGGGTATTATAAACAGGTTGTTAGCTTTTCAGATGATAACTACGAGAATAATATATAGAAAGTTGACGTCGTAAAAGAACTTTGCACGAAATGTGGTGCACTTCAAGGGGACCTTATGCAGAAAAGTTCAAAAATCATTCGAAATCCTAGGATTTGAAGTCCCAGTGGTCAGAGAAATTAATAAAACGCTATAAAATCAAAGACTTCTGGAGCAAAGAAGAGCTGCAAAAGTTTCAAATGAAAGTTCTTGAACGGAGCTTAAGGGATTTAATAGAAACAACTAGTGAAACCTCATCTAGCCAGAAATGGCAACGTTTTGCTCGATGACGAAAAGATATTGGGCTTTATTGGATTTGCTTTATTTGTAAAAAGAAGTTCCCTACCACAAATATAAAGCCAACAGAGGAAAGGATTTCAAACAGAAACTCATCCTACAGAAATTTCGGATCCCTAGTATTGAGTAATCGCTTCACGGTAGCACTCCTGATGTTTATTTTGGTGTAATAAAAACACTACATATAATTCGGGAACATTTCTTCGGGCACGATGCCAAGCAGACATAACAAATTATATAAAAAAATTCTAGAAGATGTTTCGATCAGATGTGTCTTTTCGTCTTTTCTTATTTTCTCTGAGCAAGTAAAAGGCTACATATCTACCATATGGACAGAACTATGCAAATTTCTAGTTATGAGAAAACCTCAAATCACACCTTGACAATCACTGTCAGATATCAAAATGATTTAACCGAATAATATTGGATAAATACTCTGCATACGCAACCCGGAGTCAACAGGACTGAAATCGAAAACTGCCTACACCCTTGGTAGCGTATCAGAGTGCTGCCCGTAGTGCAATGGATTTCTTCGTCGCAAATGATTTTGGGCCATGATCTTCACCTGCCATGTAACCTGCCCTTTGGATACCCTAATAATTGGGGAATAAGGTTCATTGGGATAGCCTTATTCCCCTTATCAGTAACTGAAAGACCAGTAGTCATGTTTAGAAGACTTTCATCGATTCCTCAAAAGTAAGGGATCACCAGTGGCGGAGCGGTAAAGTCGCTCGACACTGGTAGTTCTGTCCGAGTCCCGCGAACGGGCTGGCTGCATGGTTGTTTCCGTAGTATTCCCCGCGTGTAACGGGTATACAAGCCAGTTTTCCTTAGAAAGCCCTTGAGGCTTTGCCGTAATCACACACAAACTAAACATCAAATTAAGGAACAGTGCAGCGACTGAGAGGACAAAAACACGTTGCGATGCCAAGCGTTGTCGAATGATCTCACCTAAAGCGCTGACTTCCAGGGAGGAACCCTTCCTTTTCATCAAAACAGAAAACGACACAGTGTTGTGTGGATGAGCAGTTCTTAAGGAGATTACTATACTGTAAATTTCTGTAGATTTTTGAAATTGATTGTATTATTATTTTTGTGTATTTCTTTAATGCTATGTGTTGTTTTAATTAATTTGTTTGCTTATTTAGTGAAATATGTATAATAAGTTTTGCATGCATTTATGACTATATTAATGTCCTTTCAAACGTTTATTTCTTAGCAAGAATTGTAGATGCAGTGATTCTAAATCCTTCAACTTTAAAATTGTGAATCAGCTTGACTGGAAGCCGAGATTTGTTCTTGTTGCTTCTGCTCAGTGCGATTTGGTTCAGTTCCGCCCCCAGTTTTGATGGCGAGCACACCGGGGGACGAGTACGAGAGTCTCCCACCTCTCTTCCCTGCCACCAGATCACACGAGATGATTTTCGGCTAACCGCATATTTAGAGCGCCGCCATGCCGCACCGGCACTATACATTTACAAACATCCATGTGTTTCCCGTGTTTCGAACCCAGGCCCTTTGGCACGGCAGTCAGCGACGCTAACCACTATACCGATTGGGCGGCAGCCTAGGTTAGAAAAGAAAATGCTTTTGAAAAGCCTTGGTGGTAATTTTTATCGCTAAGTTAGGTTTACTATATCTGGCGATTTTCGACTAACGTGGTGAGATTTCGGAAATTTTCAAAAAACTTAATTTTGCAGTTGTAGCATCGGTTTTTCCTGAAGCATCCAGAAGATTTAAGCGGGTGTTATTTAAGCAGCAGCAGTTAGTCCAGTTTCTTCAGCGTGCAGTTCAAACAGCTAAGCTGAGAAAACTTAGCTCTAGAGTTTACACCGTGTATGTTATCCGTAATCTGCGATAGTTCTTGTATGTTAAATGAGAATTTGCCTTATTTCAGCATGTTCCTTGAGATATTTATAGCTGTTATTTTTACAACAAATTGACAATTTCGTCCTGCTTGCTTGGCATAGTTTTTGAAAAGTTCTTAGGTATCCTTCACTCGCAAGAATATCGAAGCTTCATTTATCTTCTGAAGTGGAGGTAATCCGGTTCCGAATCTCCAAATTTAGCTTATTAATATGCAACGAAAGGAAGGAATTAAAGAACAAAATGTTAAAGCATATGTTGTTGTTGTTGTGACTAACCTAGCTTGTCAGATCTCAGAGTCCTAGGTTCTCCCACCCCTCTTCGCCTATCGACAAACTATAGAGTATATGTAATTGATGTAACATGAGCAAATTTGCACTACTATAGTTTCAGAAAGTAAATATTTTCCCCCATCTTCTAGTGTGAAAATGAGGAAAAGAAACATTTAAGAAAAACAAAGAGAATTCTAGAATATCTCGAGCTCATGCAGCATATATTTCATATAGCACGCAATGATATGTTTCTTTTCGTCATTCTTGCTCCAGCTATTAAAGGAGTTTTTGTTTGATTTTGAAATTATATTCATGAAAATTTACTTACTTTACCCAGATTTCAGTTGCTACTAATAGCTGCCTTAATTATATTTAGTCGATAAATTCCTCAAAATCCTAAATGCATTATTTACTGCTTAGGTGGCTATTTTTTGGAAAGAGAGTCGTAATACTCATGATCAATATCTGCATTGCAATATGATTCACACGCACAACAATTATTCACGCGTGTATAGAATAAGGAATTCATCACATTGCCTAACTATTTTGACAGCACAGTCCTCAAGCTCAAAGACTAATTATTGCACTTCAACAACGCATAAATTATTATAGTTAAGTTAGATTAAACGCTATCTCTTAATCTCCTTTGGTTACATGGAGGAATCATTTTCGATACATACCTACAAGGTCCATCAATCACTAAATGACGCAGTAAGCCCTTTTGTGTCTGAACTCAGGAAAATTCTTCATCAATAGACTGAGCTTCAGAAGCAAACCTGATTTTTCCTTGAATTTCCCTGTATTCGCGTTTGTAGCTTTCCTAGTCTCTATGTTTAGCTTGAGATTTTTACGTCTTTGCTGAGTATATTCTATAGAGATTCCCTTAACTATAGGAACTTAAAATTAGTCTCAGTCTTGAAGCAGTTTTTGTAATATTTGTGAAAGTGTATCACGAGAAGAGGAGCATATAAATTTAATAAATAGGAATTTGCACAAATAAATTTAATTGTTTCAACAGTTTCGCGTGAAGAGTACATAAATTACCATACATTTAAGGCGTTTTACTTCGCTTTCTAAAAATATTGTAACTTCTTTACTGATATATTTTAAACAAGATTCTGAATCTTCTCTGAACGAAATGTATTAGCTTTATTCGTTTTACGAACTGATAGATTAAACACAAGAGGTGAATACAGAATTCGAATTTCACAGTTTTCGGATTTGATTAAAGTTTTAACAGCGTTCCCTTTGTCAGAAAGTACTCAAAAAGCCCAAATCATATTATATAGCATTAGTATATGATGCGTTGTACAAAACAGAGTTGCACTTTAGCATTTCGTGAATCTGCAGTTCATGATTGTGATCATGTGCTACGCATTTTCAAAGTGCTTAATTTTGGTACATCTCATCTACATATAATGCAGTTAAAAAGTATGCAACGATACCTAAAACAGTGTCATACAGAAATTAAAAAATATAGTAGTATATAGTAGAGCCTTTCTTTACTCTTATGAAATTAAAGAAATGAAGAATAATTAATGCCAAACTTTTATCTTGGCCATATTTCTTAAAAGGTTAAAATCTAACTTTATAAATTCATTCACACGTGTTTATTAAGAAACCAGGAAAATACTGATTCAGTTTTATTTTTCAACTAATTCTCTTCACTCTTTTCAATTTACTCATATTTACGTTTGTAGTTTTCTTACTTAACTTCCGTGAAATGGATGTATCGGAACACCATATCATTGAGCTTTCGCAGATCTCTAAAATTCACTTCCCAACATTTTCGTGAAATAATGAACTATGAATTAGTTTGTTTGTATCATATCATTTGTTTTCTTTTAATTAGCTTTTCCTTATTTCTTTCATTTGCTTTTGCTTTCCTTTTCCAAACGTCGAGGGATAATTCATTTGAATAATGGTAGTTTTGTTCACAACTCCTTCTCGAAAGTGGTATGTTTTAGTCGTATGCACTGTTACTGCTTGTTGATTTTCCTGAGCGTAAATAGAGCTAAATTTCTTCTTAGACTATTAATTACAAATGCATTTACTTCAAACCGAGATAGATTTTTCTTGCTTTGATAGAGACGTTAGTAACTGGGGTCTTTTACGCTGCTAGAGTTACTAATTCAGTTCTTTTACGCTACACTAGTTTTTAGAGGACATGAAATGAGAATATGAAAACTTAACATTTTCATAGTCAGATAAGGCGAATAAGGAAAAGGAATGGTCTTAAAATACTTTTTGAATCGAAGAAAGAGGTTTATAAATTTTCTTAATACCCATTTAAGACTAGTGTATAAAATAAGAAATGAACACTTCCAAGTGTACTCTTAAAATTTACATAAAAGGGAAAGAATGGATTCCCGGCTCTGTAAGGTTAAACAAAATTTAACCATTTTCGTTTTATACCCCCGTTATAAGTGCAGGTCAAGACAATTCTTGGGGGGACAGCGGGTATTTACAAGAAGGTATCGCCTCTCCATGCTAACTGCTAAGGAGGGAAAATGCGCTCCAAGAGTCTCTTATCCTCTTCTTCTACCACCAGCCTGTTGAGAGAATTTTGGCTTGCCATGTATTTGGTATGTCCCATCGCTGCACAGACACTATACGCTTGCAAACATCCATTCCTTCTCCGGGATTCAAGCTCCGATCCTTTGGTACGGGGCAGTCAGCAACCCTAACCATTATCCCTGTAGAAGAACATTTTAAGTGCAGAAAAATGAATTAAAAACTTGATACAATATAAATATTCCAAAGAAAGGCAGTAACAAATTGGAAGGAACTAATGTCACAACTTGGTAACATGGGAAAGGAAAAAACAGAGCAGCTTTAAGGTTTATTTTTTTTTCAGTTCTGTTGACGTGAAGAAATTTAATAGAAAATGATGTAATCTTATCTATGGAAATAATTATTTTATGTATTACAAATTAATTGCTACAAATTAAGTATGTAAAATATTTCATTTTACGTTTGTATATAATTAAGTGTTAAACACGTTTCTAAATCTAATTTTAATTGAGAAAATAGTATAATAACATTTTACGCAAAAAAACCCTAAATCTTGTTTAACAACCATCAAAACAAATTTACATTTTAAAAACTTTTTTTGTTTCGAAGTAATTACTTCATTTTTTCTCTCTTTGTGTTTCCATAAGAAAATATGTACATTATTTTTAGGTGAAAGACTCCTAATACTGTAGCATAGCAATGCACACGTATTACCATAGCAACACACTATTCAGCACAAATTTCCATAGCAACAGACTATTCAGACATTACGTAAAAACGACATCTTATATTTTTGCCTATTATATGCATTTCGTTGCAAAAGAAGTATTAATAAAGTAAACATGATACATAGAACTGGTAATTTATATCAGAGCTCTATATATAAAGGTTAACACTATACTACAATCTCTAACGATATCATATTTGTCATTTATATTGATATACTTATTCCCCTCTTAACTCCTATGTAAAATACTTAAGAAGTGAAATGGGCCGAAAATAAGTCAAACAGTTTCTTGCATCAAAATGAAATATTTAAATCGTAATCGATTACACAGACGACCTACAAAAAGAACATTCAATAAGAAAATTTTAAAATCTGATCCCTGCCGCTTTTTTTTTACTCTACAAGCAGTACGGTTTTTCAAAAACTCGATCCTTTGTTGAGGAATAGAACATAGCTCTTGCGAAATAAATAACACCACTAGCTGGTCACGAACTCAGGTTGGAACGTCATGTCGGTTCGCGCATAAATTCGTGTAGGCATGAGAGGGAACTGAGTGGCGGAACATCTGGTTTCTTCGAAACTTGCCGCCTGCTCAATGGAATACACCGTAATCTCCGGTATTGTTGGCTCTTTTGTGACACATAACGTCAAACTATGTTCCAACTGAAACTTACTGTTTCAGCATAATTCAAGGTAGCAAGTAGAGAAAGTTGTCTAAAACTACTTTTGAAAAGTCTGATGTTACACACGGACACTTTTATACAACATTGTGAAACGGAATACGTTATACAAAGTACAGCAGTTACAGAAGCTCAAAACCTTAAACTAAAAATAGATTTCTTGAATTACTTCTGTCTAAGTGTGGTAGGAATTTCTTCAGATGCCTTCCCATTGCCTTATACCATGCTTTATATTTTTAATTGGTGAAATTTGGTAAATGCATGTGTACGTTGTTGCTGAGATACTTTTCAGTTATTAAACGTGAAATTTCAACCAGTTATCAGCGTTCTTAATGAGGCTCTTAAAACTATTTTATTAATGTCACTCAGTTTAAAATATTATAGTTCAGAGATGTGCATATAAATTATCTGTTCAAAAATGCAGACATTTTTACGCATATTAACAAATTTAAAATATAACATATTGAACGTTTTAAATCTTTAAGCTATAAGGTTTACAACCAAAATAAAATGCATACATTTTGTAGTAAAATACGTGATAAGGCATAAAAACTCTCAAGTTAAGTCTATTCAAAAAGACAGGCTTATAATAAATCACCGCAAGAGTTTTATTCTACAAGTGAACTGAGAAGATTAAATTATAGACTCTACTACTGAACTGAAGAGAGCTGAGACATTTTACTGAAATCCAGCCGCTATCTTTCATGTTAAAAAGAGAGTTCAAGTGTAGAAAGTTAGAGATCTGGAATGAAATATACGTCAATACCTGGGAATTTCCTCTAGTGTTTATTACAAAGATACATTTTGAAGTCAGATATCGAAAGTTTTAGAGAATCAAAGCTATGGAATCAAAGCGTGGATATCAGTAGATAGCTTTAATATTCATTTATCCGTTACCTGCATTCCTTTAGGTGTACAAACATCATCACTCAGGCAAATTCAAATAAAAAAACTCAGCAAAAACTAGTTAGTTGAGCATTGGTGCTCCTTTATGTAGAAATGCTAGAGAAGTTAGAAATCTTAGTATCTTGATATTTAGCATTAAATTGAAGTGATGGATTTAAATGAAAGATTGAAATAATTTGGGAGGAGAGGAATTTTTGTGATAAACTAAACAGCTTCATGCTTTCATCAAATTTGGAAGCAGTTTTAATGATTTGTTTATTACAATGTTAAAACTATTTATATTGTTGCGTGCGTACGGGTTCGTTTGGAATTGAATGCACAGGTCCGATGAAAAATGAATAAGATTTATTAATATCATAAATAAATAAAACACAATACTTCAATTTTCTCATATTCGTACAGTATTACAATATCTCACAGTAATCTTTTAACTACTCAAATGTTCAAGAGAACTTTATTCAAAACAGCTAGAGAAGCTAATCCGCGAATTCGCTAAAGTCAACAAGAGCAGTTTTCTAAACAAAATCTTAAAACACTAAAAAAATAACTGACAACAACAACTACTAATTCAGAGGTTTTCATGCCGCTTATATAAGCTTTTTAAAATGCGCGAAAATTTTCTAGTACTTTCTTTTTATCAAAATCAAACAGAGATATTTATTAAATGTTAAATGCACGTACTCGTGTATTTTTAACTTTACGACTTAGCTTTCCTATAATATTCGTCACGCGTTGCACAGCACGGGAAATAAAACAGTTTATAATTCAACTAACATTAGCTATTTAAATACCAAATCCGTAACAATATTAAAATTTCCGTAAAAACAGAGCACAACTGTTTCCAAACTAAGCGAAAAACAAATGTTGAGAAGTATATACTTAACTTTCAAGCAAAATATATGTTTATAATTTTATAGACCCTTGGCTTAAAAACTACATTTGAAACGTATTTATAAGAATTACAATATTTGATGTAAAATGCAAAAAAATATTTTCTACCAACTATAAAAGTGTATCGTCTATAAAAATGAAATTAGTTAGAAACAAATTTAAAAAACTAAAGAAGTTCTAAAAATGTTAAAAACAAAATAACTTTCATAATATTTCTCAAACAAATTACGTAACTCTTTCTACAAGTAATCAAATTGCCTGCTAAGCAGAATGCTAAGCAATAACTGTTTGTATAGAAAAAGTTCATGTAAAGCGCTAATTTTGTTCAAATTGACTTTTTTATAGGGAATAATTATTCCCGAAAATTGAAGATGCATTTAAATAACTGACGTAAATCCTCTTATGGATGGAGAAGAAAAATTGAATTTTAAAATTGGGCGTGTCGCGATTTTAAAAAGAGATTTACCCATTTCGGAAAGATAGAACTTAAGCCAAAAACTATTATATTTAAGGCCGAAGGAGGGTAGAATTTAACAACGTCCCTGTCAAGAAATGTTATTCACTGTGACATAAATATATAGAGAGTGTAATGAACTTACTAATTAGTGAGGAAGATAAAAATCTTCATTCTATTTGTCAACGATTTGCCTACACTATTAGTATACTTATTTAACATTCAGAAGGGAAGTAACGTATTGAAAAATATCTGTTATTTAATTAACATTAAGGAAAGCTGAAATCAAATACTTTGCATACTACCAATTTAATCATGAAATTCTACTTAGACTAAAACATATAAACCCCTCATTTGTTACCTTAATCACAGAAATAAGAAAATAGACTCATTAATGTATGCAATGGGATTAAAGACTGTATAAAAAAGGTGCATCGTCAAATACAGAATTTTCTTTTATAAGCTTATTTTTTAAAAGGAGGATACCAGTTATTTCATCTGATTTTCATTGTTAAAAAAGAAACATAATACAGAAAATGTAAACAAATAAATTGAAAGATAAGTAACAAAAGAGACGTTTATATTACCTGTTAAGAAAATCTTAAGTTATAAAACTGTTTCTAAGAGTTATCCCTAAGAATTAGCATATAAGAATTAGCATCAACATGCTGCAAAGAAAGAGAGTGCATATACCAGAATGAGTAACTAAATAAACTTCGAACCATATGAACATGTAGTGCCGATCGCTTGGAGCTGTGATGAAAACCAGATGCCGTGACGTCATTCTCTTTGCGAGCTGCGAAGGCGCCAAGCAAAAATTAGGGGAATTACCGTTTTGAGATGATAGACGATTGACGTGAAAGCAGAGACGCTGCTTCTGTTCAAAAAGAACTTTGACGAATCATTACTTGTTTAATTCTCTTAAATGTTAAATTTATGTAATAATCGTTTGTCTAATTAAAATGTCTTTCTTTCGTTAATTAATTTGTTTTCATCGTTTAAAATCCCCACAAAAATTTTCTCAGAAGTGGGATAGCAATTAAGCACTCGAATGAACTGTAGTTTTACCTGCTTTCCTGGATTACTACCGGTTTTGAAGAATAACTGTTGCTGTGCTGGACTGTTTTACGATGTATAATCAACTATGTTTCGAACAAAAACCTCATCAAGCTCCTAGGAATGTATGCTGATTTACCTGAACTGAAACTGCGTAATAGTGAGTAAATAGTGTGCGGCTCTATTAAAGACTGGAATTAATTTTAATAATACTGGATGTCAAGTGTCAAGACGTGAATTGTGGCCAAAAATCCATCGGACATAACCTGTTTCTACTCGCCTTTTGTCGACACCATTTGTGATCCATTGGATGGTATGGAAGTAATTTGTTTCGTTTCTGTTTCCGGATTATAGAGCCAGGAACATCGTGGATTACCATTATATGAAGTGAGTGATTTTCTCAATTTTATTAACTATGTTTCTAATTGATGTGCCGGGAATGGAAGATGTCCTGAAAAGTGAAAAAGCGCATAATATAAAATTATTACACAAAATAATATTTAACGATGTGGGCGACAGAAATAATCGAAAAAGGTTAAGACAATTTAGTGGTTTCTCTTTAGAAGAGAATAGTAAAGAACGAATAGTAAAGAACTTAATGAAAAACTCGAAAAAATCAAACAAGATTTTCAGGATTATGAATTAATTTCCATTGCCAATGTTTTTTATGCATTGATAGCTCTGGCGCACAAGATGACTTAGCAACCCGAATTGTTTCTTATTCTGAATAATTTAGAATTGCTTAAAAACAATATGTAATTTTAGAAGAAAGTGAAAACGAAAGTGATTTAGAGGGTGTGGATGGTGGGGATAAAAATGAAAGTAGATGATAATGTTCGAGATGAAACGAAACTAAGAAACAATTCTGGTGCCACAGTGAGACAACTTCCTTCCCTAATGTGCTAATGATAATATTCTTAGTACAATTGAAAACAAGTCGAATGTATTTCATAACTGTAGTATAAATGTTACTATTGAAGACATCAAATCTTTTGTTGCTCAATTTGATGGCCAAAGCCACGAAAATGTCAGTAGTTGGGTCGAAAGTTTTGAAGATGCAGCTACCATTCTTCAGTTAAATGATTTGCAAAAACTGATTTTTGCTAACGCCTGATGACAGGCAAAGCAAAACTATTTGTTCTTAGTGAACCAAAGTTGAACTCATGGCAAATTTTTAAGAATGCCATTCTTGATGAATTCAGGTGCAGCTGCAATTCGGCCGAACTGCATGAGTTATTATCAAAACAAAAAATGAAGAGCAATGAAACATTTGATGAGTTTTTTTTTTTTAAATATGAAAAGAATTGCTAAAAATGGTCAAATTGAAGATGTTGCTTTAATACGATATGTTATAGATGGTATACCAGGCTCCGCGTTTAAAAAATCTTGCTTGTATGGGTCACAAACATTAATTGATTTTAAGAACAAATTGAAGCTTTATCAACAGATATGTGATGATGAAGAAAAGTCGCGAACGTCAAAAACAAAATTTGAAAAGTAAACAAAAAAATTGAATCTAGGCAAATAAATATGACTCAAAAAATTCTGTTAACCAAACAAAGTGTAACGTAACCGATAGTCGAGGAACAATTCCTGAAGATTAAACGTAATACAACCTGTTTCAAACTGCGGTGAAAGCGGTCATATTTCCAAAGCAATGTGTTCATAAAGATAAGAGGAGTCAAGTGTTTTAAATGTAAAGAATTTGGGCACCGAAGTTTCGAATGCTCAAATACGAATTCGAAACCAGAAGTATCAACCGTGAATATTGATATAGTCTCGAAGTTGACCAAAGAAGTAAAAATTAATGATGTATATGTAACCGCGTTAATAGACACAGGAAGTCAAACTACTTTGTTATGTAGATCGACTTTTGATAAACTGAATATCGAAGGCCTCGTGCCCGTAAGTTCAACGCTGAGTGGGTTCGGTAAATGTCAGGTAAAACCTCTAGGTTTTTTTTTTAAAGGTAATATTAAAATTAATGATTTCCAGTGTACTGCGATATATTGTGTTGTAGACAACAATGTAATGACACATGAAGCCATTTTAGGCTTAAACGTAATATTAAAAGGTGAAATATTAATAAATGAAAATGGGGTTACCATAAAAAGTAGTCACAGAGTGTAGAGAAAGTAAATATTAATCTGTTTTTTACCTGTTGACCTAGCTAGTAACGAAAACGAAATAAACATTGCACCTAGTGTTCCAACTACTTTAAAGAGACTGTTCAACAGTTAGTTTCGAACTATATGCCACGTAAAGACGAAATCTACGAAGACATAGAACAGTTCAAAATTTGTGCGTTAAAAATAACGAACCTAGTATCGCATCAACCGTGTAGATTACCTTTTGCGGAAAAGAAAATTGTTGAAACCCAAATATCCGAATGGCTAAATTCAGGAATTATGGACAGAGTTCTTCGGAATATTCCAGCCCATTGGTCATCGTTAAAAAGAAAGGACGGGGAACACCAACAGTTTGCGTTGATTATCGTCATTTAAACAAAGTTGTCGTAAAGGATAGATTTCCCCTTACCCTGACTGAGGATATCCTAGACCGCCTTCAAGAAGCACGTGTTTTCAGCACGTGTTATTGATCTTCAAAAATGGCTTTTTTCACGTAGGCGTCGAGAAGGAAAGTTCGGAAGTACACATCATTTGTTACGCATGAAGGACAGTGCCAGTTTTTGAAAGTGTCGTTTGGACTCTGTAACTCACCAGCTGTATTCCAGAGATTCATAAATACCATTTTCCGACGTTAGTTAACGATGGCATCGTTTTTTGCCGTACATGGACGATATCATCATTTTGTCCGCCCATACGAAGAGGGAATCGAGAGCTGAATCAAGTTTTAAATCTAGCGAGTGAATACGGATTGGAAATAAATTTTAAAAAATCGCAATTTTAAAGAAACGAATTGACTTTTTAGGCCATGTCATAGAAGAGGGTAAAATTTTCCCATCCACCTTGAAGAACGCAAGCTGTTATAAATTTCCCTGAACCATCTAATTTAAAACAGATCCAAAGTTTTCTTGGGTTGGAAAAAAACAAGGGTATTTCAGAAAATTTATTCCTAAATACTCTATAATTGCCAAGCCACTTAGCGATCTGCTAAAAAAGGGTAATAAGTTCGAATTCGGTGAAGAACAAAGGATCGCATTCAATCGTTTGAAGCGCTAGCTCTCAGCGTTAGCTGGAGAAGCCTGTACTTGCAATTTATAACCCTCATTATGAAACCGAACTACACACAGACGCCAGTATAGAAGGATACGGGGCGATTCTAATGCAGAAACTCCCCAGGTGATAGCAGTTTTCACCCCACTTATTTTATGAGTAGGAAACCCTCTGATGCAGACAAAAAGTATCAAGTTACGAATTGGAGGTTCTCGCGATCGTAGAAGCACTGAAAAAGTTTCCGAGTTTACCTTTTGAGAATTTCATTTAAGATAGTGTCGGACTGTTCAGCATTTCAACGGACCGATGGAAAAAAGAGATTTAGCGACGCGTGTTGCTCGTTGGCTCTGTTGTTACAAAGAATTCGATTATGGTTATGAGCATCGTAAAAGGGTTAGAATGCACATGTAGATGCTCTAAAGTAAGCTCTTAAACGTCTTATGCATTTCAATTGAAAATATCTTACCTAAATTAAAACTTGCTCAAAAATGACACTGAAATAAACACCATTAAGGAATTATTGAAAAACCTCAAGTTATGAAATTATTGTAATAGAAATGGCGTACTATACATTTATTGACGGTAAGAATTGAATTCCGTACCGGAAAGTATGCAGACTGAAATCATAAAAGTGCTCACGGAAAGGGCACACCGGTATCAAACATACAGAAAACACCTGGATGAATACTATTTCATTCCAAACTTCGGCAGAAGATAGAAACGTTATCGCGATTGTGTTCATTGCCTCTTAATAAATCGTAAAGCTGGGAAAAAGAAGGATTTTACATCCGCGATTCAAAGAGACATTCCGTTGCATACTTATCATATAGATCACTTGGGGGTCCTCTGGAAAGTACCCATAAAAAACCAAAGCACCTATTAGTAGTGGTCGACGCCTTTACTTAAATTTAACTGGATTATCCAACAAATCTACGACTCAGCCGAGGTTATAGCGAAGTTAGAGAATCAGAAGGCCATTTTTGAAAACCCTTGTCAGATCATTTCTGATAGAGGAACGGCTTTCACATCAGTGATTTTTCTGACTACTGTGCTAAAGAAGATATAAACATCATCTAATCACCACAGGCCTGCCGAGAGCAAATGGACAAGTCGAACGAATCAACCAAGTCATTAATCAGTATTAAGCGAAACTGTCCTTAAAAAAACCAACCGAATGGTATAAACCCACACACGAAGTTCAGAGGACGCTTAATTCAACATATCAAGAGCATTACACTACACTCCGTCGAATTACTCTTCGGTACTAAATGAAAATAAGGGCAACCGATCAGCTCAAAGAACTGATAGAAAGTGAGTTCAATCTCAAATTCGATCTCAAGAGAAGAATTACGAGCAAGCCAAGAGGGCAAATTTCCAGTCTCAACAGAAAATAAAAAGACATATAATGCCAAAAGAAGACAAGCACAGCCGTACAAGTTGTTAGTGGCATCAAAAGGACTCATTTCGGACACACTTAATTAAGAGCGAAGTATTGGACCTATAATCAAG